TACATATCTCTAAATCTAAAGCCTGTGCACATTCCCACAGCATGGCAAGCAGAGGTGAATGGAGGTTCAGTCAACTCCAGCAAAAGAAGAATAGCTCTGAGTGTATTAATTTGGAATTCTAAATACAATTTTCCATAAAAACATTCCTGCACAGTACTCATGGGTAAAAGATATGGATGTGGCTGACTTGGAAATCTAAATACTAAGTAAAACAGTATTTGAGAACATATATAAAATGTTTAAAAATGGTTTTATAGGTGAAGTTTTAGATTGTGATTCCCATTATGATTTATTTTTCAATATCTTCCCCCTTTTCTCCTCACCTTTTATTTTTTCCCCGAGATCAATATTTGGTTCCACGTTCAATCAATATTTGGTTCCATGTTTTAAAATGAGCCTAGCCATCAGAAGAATTGCGGAAAGATTTACATCCCAGATTATCTATGCCATAATCCTATTAATTTCTCCAAATTTACTTTAGCTTTCTCCATAAAAGAACTCTACCATAATACTCACCAGTTTGTTATTCCTATTTGGTTCCCTATGCAAAAGTAAATAATGTAAAAGTCATCTTTTGAAGACATTAGAACAGAAATGTACACAAAAATTTTTACATGTCAAATTAATCAGAAATCATACTATATATATAGATCAGTAAGTTTTGTAACACAGATGATACAAAAAGGAAAGGATGCTCTTAACATCTGAGAACAGTGGGGAGGAGGTTCCAAACTGAGATCAAGCAGAATCATCCAAAACTAGGCCTTCACCAGCTACATTTCCTCACAAATAAGCCATCAGTAGATAAGCCAGCCTCTTTTGGTCCCACTTCCCTCATCCTGACAAAGAGCTTTAAAATCAAGAACAGAAGAAATAAACATGATACTTCACAAGTCTTTTGTCCTCTAAACCCAAAGAATTTAACTTGTTATTAAAACCTAAAAGATTTACAGAAGTGAAAAATCTGTCATCCCATTATCAGAAATAAAATGCAAATGCCCAGGTAAAGCTGCATATTGATTGAAACATCATACTAAAGTACAATTAAAATAAGAAATGTAAATGATGAGCACCAGAGTGTTTTTGCCTTAATGTGGGGAGGGGAGAAAACTAAATAGGAAAATGACTAGACAACTAAAAAAGAGGGCAAAGAAGGACCAAGAAATATATGAAAAGGGAAAGCCAAGATTGCCAGACACAAATTTTGAAGGAACATTTGTCTCAGTCATCTGTGGTTGCACAGCTTAGCAAGAATAGTTAGCAAGATGTCATCATGTTATTTATGAATATCTGTATCTCTACATCTAACTTTGTTATGAAGGTACTTTGTTCCCAGAGGAGTTCTGACTGAAAATTTTACTGCTGTCCAGACCACATCTGTGATTCACAGTGACTCTCAAGTCTTTTTCTGTCATACCAGTTCTCAGCTTTATCTACCTTGTTGTTAAGGTTTCCTTACGCATTAATGTCTAATATATTCACTCCCATTTTCAACAGAACTCCAAATCCAGTGTTTTGGGGGGCTTACCTCTCCCACTGAGTATACAGCCCTAATTCAATTTCTTCTACCACCACCCTTGGCTAACAATAATTGTACACATTTTCAAATAAATTTTACTTTTATAAATAAAAGTAACAAAGGTTACTTTTCCTATCTATATTTATGTATTTCTAATGTAGAAAATTTTAAAAATCAGTGCTTCTCAAATATCAACTGTGAAAGATCACATTTTTAAAAAATTTCCTATGCATCACAGTCCTATATGTTCATAAAACAAAAATGAATTACTAGAAAAATGATGACACATTTGGATGTTGTGGTATTACCAGATTGTTATAGAAGTTTCTAAACATTTACTTTTAACGTTTTAACTTATCTCCCTACAGACAGGAAACAACTCACCGTCTAGCTCCAGTCACTCGCCACACTATGAGCATCAGTGCCCTAAGGCATATATATTCTCAGTATACAGCTCTTCAGGAAATTTTCCACATATTTAAAAACAATAAACCAACCCAGACAAATGGCTAGGAACCTTTTTCTATACTGTTTTTCACATCACACATTTTACTTCAACAAGTCCTTATAGATACAAGGCCCTCAGCCATAGTTTCTTAGCTTATCTGTGATAGAAGAGAATTTTTAAATTTACTGAAGATCCTAACTCTCTACTTGTAATCAAACAATTCCTTCTGCTTAATATGTTTGCTTCCCCATATTCTTCACCTTCAAAAACCACAACTCAAAACTTCTCCATAAACTCTTCTGGATCTAGAGAATTCTCTGCTACTTAGCAATCATCGCACATTTAAATTCACGCTGATTAATACACTGCTGTGTAAATGTTCTCTAGTAGAGTCATGCACTGTCTCTTTTTTTTTTTTGTCTCTTGAATTAGATTTGAGGAAAGCAAGAAAAACATCAGTCCATTCTTTTTAAGTTTTTCACACAGTCCAGAGTAAGACTGCCCACAGTTAAAAATATCTGACTCATCAGATCCAAATAATTCACATACCCCATAGGCAAAAAGCAGCATTTGCAGCTCAGGGGTTGGCCCAACTGAGATTTTCAGAAAATAATTTATCTAACTAGCCATGAAATAGTAGTAAGTATGGCCTAACTACCTGTTTTCCAATCTCATTCTGAAATAAAATGTCACTGAGTTATCATGATAGCCTGCTTAGATCACCTGGAATTATGATTGAATATTTACATAAATTTGAGGTACTTCCACTAAAATTACATCATTAAACAGACGTTATAAATTACTAAAACAAAAGAATAATAGACAGAGGGTGGGGGGGGATGAACTGGGAGATTGGGATTGACATGTATACACTGATGTGTATAAAACTGATGACTAATAAGGACCTGCTGTATAAAAAAATTAAATTTAAAAAAAGTCTCCACATGCCTTCAATTAACAGCATGCAATACTCTCATACCAAGAGTATTTCTTTTCTTTTTTTTTTTTACCAAGAGTATTTCTAATACAAAGGAATTTTAAACCTTCTCAACTCAACCATTAACAAACAATTTAAAAATATATGCAACCTGTACCCACAAAGATTCCTAATCATGTAGCCCACTATTGGAAAAAAATCTCTGTGTCCCTACATATTATTTTAAATATAAATGGCAAGAAAATATGGTCCTTCAAAGATATACTATATGAATACTGAGTTTCTAAGTAGAGGCTGACACGTAGGTCCTTTCAGTTTAGCCAAACATTGAGTTTTAGAGATGAAAGACACCACAGCAATTATGCAGGCCATGCTCATCATTTCACAGATGTGAAGATTACAGCCTAGAAGGCTGTCCCAAGGTCACAAAGCTAGAGATCCAGGACCTCAAAAACTGCAGCATAGTGCTCACTTCACTAATCTGCTTCCATTTGGATACATTCTAATATCTCTCCAAATACAGATGTCACATTTATAGTAATATTTCCTTCTATTATTTTCCTTTACTAAAATAAATTTTAGAAGAATGGGTATTATAATCTCCTTTTTCAAATCTCCAGGGCTCTTTACTGTTTTGTCAAAAATTAACGTCAACAGCTATAAACCACATATTTCAACTTTAAGATGCAAAAACCCACCAAAGCCTCACAAGTATTTATTTGCCATTCTAGTCTTACTTTCTACTCATACATCAGAAATGCTACTTATCACAGATAACAGATTATTATTTTTAAAAGTGTGAAAAAGCTACTGGGGGACCCTTAAGACTACTTAAGGGCTTTTTATTTTCCCTACACTAAACAGCTCCAAATAACCTGACTTCTAGGTTGTACCTACTTTCCAGCACTTCACTGCTTCCTTCCATATTGAAGGTTTTGTCTACTGTCACTTCTCACTCACTTCTCACTGCTTGTGTCCAACTCTATTCCACTTCTACCATAGGGATTTAGAAAATACATATTCCCATTTCTGAGACTAGTATGTAAAGCAAAAGTAAATGTGTTCTTGGTGAGAGCCTGTGAGGAAGTCTATAAAACCAAACCCATACCTTTTAGTCTACCAATCTTAGTTGCTTAAAAGCATTTTGTAATTAATCATCTCCTTGTTCTCATCTATTTTCTAAAAGGAGATAATACTAGGTGCATGAGGTATTGATATAATTCATACCTGACCCCACAGTTTTATTTTCTTGTCTAGAGAACATCTACCTAGTATTCTTAAAATTCATTTTATACTACCTTCTGATCAGAGACTTCCTTAAAGCACCTTAAGCTTACATCAGTTTTCTAAAATTAATATTTTCTTTTTGATCTTTCTCCTATTACTTAGGAAACTGAATTAGTTATAACTTTATAGTAATTTCCGCCAAGATTTACAACCTCCTGAACATCTTTAGCTGCTACTGATCCTAACCAAAATAAGCACCGTCTCTAGATTACTATTACTATTAACATAATGATTCTCAGTAAGACTCAAAGGCATCAAACTATAATAACTACAAGGTACTTCAAAATCGATTCACGGTCTATCAACCTCAATTCCAAATAAAACTAAACTAAATTTCTAATATAAAGAGATTTTAAACTGTTTTTAAATAGTTGGACCAATTATGAAAAGCTGAAGATTTTAAGTTTGCCTTGTAATGAGGAGTTTAAATTAGGGGAGAAATCTTTGGTATTTAGACAAAGCAGTCAGAAAATAAAGTTAAAAGATGATTAATATACCTACAATGGGTCACATAACATCTAATTTAATGTTGTAGTTGCTGTTATCTTAAAAAGAATGCATTAAGATAAAGAAAATGAGCAAAAATAAGAAGGATTTCATCCCTTCACATAAAATGTCTCTATTTCATGCACAGAGATCAAATAAAATTCTGCATATAAGAGACATACACCAAGGAAAATGGTTAACAAAAAGCAAGAAGAACATTACAGTCCTCCCCCACTTGAGAGAACACTGACCATTATGTAGGTAACATCCCAGTATCACCCCTATGTTCCATTTAGTTTCACGTAAGTTTCCATCTCACCTACCTTTCTTCTCTGAGAGATGTTGAGGGCACCAAAGTCATTAAACAAGGATGAAGCAGGTGAAGTTAGAGGATCTGGAAGGTAAGTTATATAAGTTTCCACACAGACAACTCAGGAAACCTATAAATCTAATAAATGTTTAACTTGAATGCTTATAAAGTAGTAAAAAAAAAATCATATACCACAACAATAAACTCAATGCCCCGCACAGTGGGTGTTCAAATATTTTGTAAGTGAATGAAACACAAACTGGAGACCACTTCATTCAGCCAACAGTCAGTACACATCTATTCAGAAGCTATACGAATTAGAATGCATCTATTTGCTGAGAACCAAAAGAAAAATAAAATAGAAAAAAAAAGGTGATCTTAACCATGTTATTAGGAATGTGCTTATGAAGGAAGTCTACCTGTAGTTTGTGTTCTTGAGACCAAACCATAAGAAAAATAAAAAAGGAGGAGGGGTGGCAGGGAGAGTAGTCAAACATACTCTGAGCGATAGGACTTGGATGTTAACACCTAGGCAAGACCTTAAAACCATCTACCCTAGAGAATATTCCATATTTTTAAGTTTATCACCCCATACTTGATATTCTTACTCAAAAGATAAGGTTAATTAAGTTTTTAAAGATGAAAATATTAAATGTTTCAGAACACAAACATGAAATCCAAAGATTTTATAGGTTCAAAGCTCTATTACTCTGCGGCCAGAAGTTACAAACAAAAGTACATCTCTAAATTGTTTCTCACTTAACAAATCAGAAGAGTTTCTGAAAAGGAATGCATGGTATACATTGAAATATTTTTGTCTTCACTTCTGAGCTTTAGTTAGTCCTATGTTTCTCATTAAATTATCGGTAAAATCCTAAAGAAAATATAGTAAATGTCATTTAAAGGAACCTTAAATCTCTTCATAATGCAGTATATATAAATTGCTGCTTAATTTCTCTGGTTTCTTCTGTATGGATTTTCACAGTCTAGTCCTTCATTAGAATTAACATTAATTTAATATAACTAATAATGCAAAGAGAAAGAAGTTAATAAAATAATAAGATACAAGATTTTTATGTAATTTATACATTCAAGACTAAAAATAGGTATTATTCATCCTTTACGCTACCTTTGACAGCATTTAAAAGTCAGCATATAAACTCTATGGGAATGCCAAAAATACTATAATGCTACACATTATTTTCTAATAATTTTATTCAATATTAAAATGTTGCTATTTTTTCCTACAGCAAAAGAAGAAATTTCTAAGTAATGAGAGAGATTTGATACACACACATAAAATGTCTATCTCAGAAATAATCAACATGCAAATTCTTATCCTCATCGTTATAAATAACTGTTTACATTTTACCGATACAGAGTATGAATAAACTGTTACATATTTTTAAAAAAACCATTCCTGAACATTTATTTTTAAAAATAGGATGCAGAAAGATACAAAAGAAACATTTATTTTTAAATTAGGATATGAAAAGGAAATTCTGTATCAAAAGGCTTAAAAATGTCCATAATCTTTGAAACAGTAATTCCATGTCTAAGAATGTTTCTAAAAGAAATAACTCAAAATATGAACACAGATTCATACACATAAGTCCAATACTGGACTTTAAAAAAACAAAAGTAAATTATGAAAATTACAGGATTCAATTTATAATGACCTAGAAACACTCATGTTATAATTTTAAAGTATATTTAATGCAATCTCAGGTATTATTATGTATATAAAGTATTATGTATTATGTGTATATGTATGTATATACATATATCCAAATCTTAATACTAGTTATCTCTGAGTGTGAAGATAACAGATCATATTCTTCCTTACATCTATCTGTAATTTTCAAAATTTCTACAATGGGCATATTGTTTTTAGAGTCAGAAATACATGTATCCGTAAGAAAAAAAGGGACTAAGTCTTACCATGGCCTGCATATGGCTTGGCACTGTCATTTAGAAGGCTTGGGGAGCTGCTACTATTAGTCATTCTCTGAAACATAAAATATATATACATAATATCATTGAGGAATACAGAATTAAGAATATTCAACCGATTAAGTTAAGACTGACCCTCTTTGCGTCTTCCCCTCCAATCCATCGTTCACATCAGTGACACTCTAATCTTCCTATAAATGCTGCTGCTTGGATTACAATCATCTATGCAGAAACTTCGAAATACTCTCTATAACACATCAAATGAAAAGTTTACTCAATAGCCAGGTATTTAAAACCAAAGTCACAGAACTATTTTGAATTGCACTTCCATAACTTTTTAGCCTGAGCAAGACACATAACTACTAAGTTTCCTTATCCATAAAATATAAACTCCAGTATCCATCCAAGAGGATGTGAATGACTGTAAGTCAATAAACACTCTCTACTATTCTCTCCCAACACATATAATCCTTCATACACCTCACAGATCTATAAAATTAGGCTCTTCTCTGTTCTCTAAATACGTCGCTGCGCTTTCTTAACACACTCCACAGCCTCTGTGGTCTCACAATCCTCAAAGGCCCTCATTCCACACTCAACAAAACACACAGAGGAGTGAAACCAGTCTCTTTCTATCCATCCTCTACTTTCTCCAACTCCACCCTTGAAAGCTCACCCTGACTCCAAACCTACAAGAGACGGCTCACCTATATCCCACCTACCTCATCACCTCCTAAAGTCCCACCTCCCACTCAACAAAAGTGAAAACAAATGAAAACTCCAGATGTCTCCATCCCCGGAATAAACTTCAGTGTTTAGTGCCATATAAATTCATACCAACAATACCTGCATCAAGGGATATTTTGTTTCTACAGGACTTCCAAATCCATTAACTCCAATAAAGCTGGTGCTGAAATATGAATCTGTGAGGCTGGTATCAGTTAAAGCACCTCCATCTATTCCAGGAACTGAAAGAGAAGGAAAATTCAAGTATTTAAATTATTTAAAAGCACAAAACAATGATGTAGTTTCTCTGTTCCCAAATAAGTTTTAAAGTCTCAAATCTCTTGTTTTTATTCACCTGTTCATATCAAAAGCCAGAACCAAATAAAACTGTCTCAACTCTAAAAACCTGTTACACAATGCTCAAGTTGAAATATTTTTTCCCACAGAGATAGCTATTTATTTTGTATTAGTTACCTGAGAGCCACCAAGCACAACGTGAAGAAACAAACCACACTTGCATTTCTACTTTTCTCATCAAGTTTTTTTCTTTAACTTTGCAAGAGGACAGGAGAATATAAACCGCTGCAATGTCTCCTGTGAATCTTCATATGCTAAACAGAGGCAAGTTTCTCAGGACTGTTTCTCATAACACATCTTAAGAAACAGACCAGCAGTCTCATATTAACTCATAATTCAGTAAGCCAATTCTACGGTGGGAGCAATGGGATACAGCCGAGGGACACAGACAAGCTTTCTGTCGATTTTATGGTAGAATACTACAGAATCATTGTAACTACTAAGACAAGCCATCATATACCAACAAAGTGATGGACAATGTTTTAGATGCTATTTCCTGGTAAGTGCAGTTCATCCTTGAACAACACAGGTTTGAACTGCATGGGTCCAATTATACACAGACTTTTTCTCAATAAATATATTGGAAAAATTTTTGGAGATTTGTGACAACTTGAAAAACTCAAAGATGAACCTCGTAGCCTATAAATATCAAAAAAAATGAAGAAATCATACGTCATGAATGCATAAAATATATGTAAATGTGGATACCACTCTATCCTTACATAGGCATAAGGTGAGTGACATTTAATATGAAATTAATGTGTTAGCTTTCTTACTGTTTTATAACTTTGCTTTCAAAGAATTACATTACCGTACAGTATGCCTCTCTCTCTCTGAACTGGAGAAACTATTACAGGTGACATAACCTATCATCACAGGTTAAGTGTTTTTCTTTAAATGTAACATTTCCAATACTGTATAATGAACGTGACTATAAAAATTTTATAATGATTCATTTATCAGTATATAGGCTAGGCTATTGTGAAGCAACCACATCACTTACACTAAACTACCATAAAGCAATCATACTGCTGCTTCTTCATTAGCAGTGCAGGATACCTGTAAATAAATATGAATTTCTTTTTCACATTATCTTTTCATTTTTGATGTCTAGTGTTAGTAAAACATATGACACTTTGTATCGTATAAGGCAACAGTGATGTAGGTACAGACAGAAAGTGGTTCACCTTGTAAGCATATCATGTAAACTTATATCGATAAATACAGTACAGAACTGAAAATGTATTTTCTCTTCCTTATGATTTTCTTAATAGCCTTTTCTTTTCTCTAGCTTACTTTACTGTAAGACTACAGTATATAATACATATAACATAGAAAATATGTTAATCGACTGTTTATGTTACTGGTTAGGGCTTCCCAGTCAACAACAGGCTATTAGTAGTTAAGTTTGGGAGCAGCCTGAGGGACTGGAGTTCCATAGACCATGCTTTTAAAAAAAAAAAAAAAAAAAAAGCCCAGCTGAAACTACTAAGTGGTTCTCCTCTGCCAACTAGGACATCAGAGACAAGATGCTGGCAGTGCTCATCCCAAGGGATGAAATCCAAACTTCCTAGTCTGACATTAAAAAGCCCTCAACAATCTGTTCTCAACCTATCATTCTAGTATTTCCTGAAAGTGCTGGGTTTGAGACTCAATTCTGCCACTTACTAGCCACAATGTCTTAGGCAAAATGGTTATAAAGTTGAGATGATACCATGACTTGTAAAATGAGCCTCATACCATCTACCCTGCAAACTTGCACAAAAAGTTATGAAAAACAATGAAACAGTATCTTAAAAGTTCTTGTAAAAATCCTGATGGTTGCCCAGCTCTATAAATTTACTAAAAGTAACTGAACTGTACATTTACAATGGGTGAATTTTACAGCATGTAAATTATATTTTGACAAAGCTCCTTTTTATAATCGGTGGAGAAAAATGGGATTACTCAATAAATGGACTTGAGACAACTGTGTATCCATCAGGGAGAAAACTGAGTACCTTACACAGATATTTCCGAAAGGTCAAAGATTATAATGTCAAAGTTTACATCTACTATAAGAAGGTCTTACAATAACCCCAACATTACTGAATGCTCGCCTCCAGGCAAAACGATAAACTCACCATATTTTTTTTTTTTTTTTCTTGCGTTATGTGGGCCTCTCACTGCTGTGGCCCCTCCCATTTGCGGAGCACAGGCTCCGGACGCGCAGGCCCAGCGGCCATGGCTCACGGGCCCAGCCTCTCCGCGGCATGTGGGATCTTCCCGGACCGGGGCACGAACCCGCGTCTCCTGCATCGGCAGGCGGACTCTCAACCACTGCGCCACCAGGGAAGCCCAAAACTCACCATATTTTGAAGGTCCACACTTCATCAATTCTAACACGCACACACACCAACTCTCTGTTCTTCGAGACCCAGGTATAATGGAAAAAAACCAAAATACTTGAAGTCAAGTCATTCAGTTCTAATCCAACTCTTGCCACTCACTAGCTGAATGACCTTGAGCAAAACCCTCTAAATTTCATTTCTTCGTCTGAAAGAGAAGGCAATCCCCTATCACTCACAGGGTTGTGAAAGGGACTCAAGTGAAGTAACCTATGCAGAATGCCTAGCGCCCTGTCTCAGAGGTAATCATAAATGTTATCTTCCTCTTCTCTTATCTCTAGAATGTCTACCCCAATTATTCCAAGTTGTGTTTAACACACAACTCTATCTCTTAAGATACTGTTTATATCATTCATGTGACAATTTTTTTTTCCTTTGATCTCTTATTGCTGTCTTCAACTACTTAAACATTTAAATTCTTACCTGTTTCTGAACTATCTACGCATCTAAATTACCTGTAAACTGAGATTTGGGACTACTCCTGATATTTTCCTGGTATTCCCTATTCTACTAGCACATTTACATAAACACTTATTTACAATTAAGCCCTTTTTTAAAGTAGGTATTTTTAAAAGTTGATAAAAGATACAATAGATTTTCACAACCAACTTCTGTAAAACACCCCATGCAAATGATATTATTGCCTCTGTTTCTCTGATGAGGCAATGAGACTCAAAGACACTAGATTGACAGCACAGTGGATGCAGGCCCAAGAAACAGGGGCTCCTCGACCACTCAGCAGACACTCGCACCATCCTTTTCTGTACTGCACTGTGGAATGAGGACAAACTTTTAGCAAATACAACTGCCCATAAGGTCTGTTTCAGCCAGGTGCCAACTACTGATCTTTGACAGCATATTTAACCTAAGTCTTTTTTTTTCCTCCTCTGTAAAATAGAAATGACAACACCTACTTTCCAGTGTTTTATGAGAATAAAAGGCCTGGAAGTTTGTACCTCTTAACTATCTTCACTTACCCCCCTGGACCCCTGCATCTGGCAACCACCAATCTGTTCTCCACTGTATCTGTGAGTTTGGGGTTCTTGTTTTTGTTTTCAATTTATTTATTATTTTATTTTTGGCTGCGTTGGGTCTTTGTTGCTGCGCATGGGCTTTCTCTAGTTGCCGCGAGCGGGGGCTACTCTTCGTTGCGGTGCGCGGGCTTCTCATTGCAGTGGCTTCTCTTGTTGCGGAGCACAGGCTCTAGGCACACGGGCTTCAGTAGTTGTGGCACGTGGGCTCAGTGGTTGTGGCTCGCAGGCTCTAGAGTGCAGGCTCAGTAGTTGTGGCACACGGGCTTAGCTGCTCCATGGCATGTGGGATCTTCCTGGACCAGGGCTCTAACCCATGTCCCCTGCATTGGCAGGCGGATTCTTAACCACTGCGCCACCAGGGAAGCCCTGAGTTTGGGTTTTTTTTAAGATTCCATATGTAAGTGAGATCATACTGTACTTGCCTCTACATAGTTTTTTTTTAATGTAACAAGTTTAAACCAGATTACTGAAGATTCTGTACACTCCTTAACATATGTGTACGTTATATTTTGTGTTAATTTATGTATTAGTATACATAATACATTAAGATATAACAGCTTAGGGCCATCATTTGTAATAGTAAAAGACCGTAAACAATCTACACAGCCACTAAAAAGAGTAAGGTGTATTTTTATGTGTGGATGTAGAAGAAACTAGAAGATATACAGTTTGCTGAAAAATTCAAAATGCATTAGGCTTCCGTGTGTGCACACGTGTGTATGTGTGTCGGTACGTGCCACAGATAGGGAAATAGAAACATGAGTCATAGTACAGACAAAGAATATTTCTGAATAGATACACAATAAATTGGAAAGAGTAACTGTCTTTTGGAGAGG